ACTCTCGCCGGCGGAAGAAGAGGCACTGGCGCAACGCGAAGCCGAAGAGCTTCGACAGAAGAGTCTCACTGAGGCGCGCGGAACGCTCGCTTGGGAGGATGACAAGGAAAGCGCCTCCAATGAAGGGGGGTGGGGGAGCGCCGGCGGGTGGGGAACAAGTGACACTGGCGGATGGGGAACCGCAACTGGCGGCTGGGGAGCAGACAACGGCGGCAACACTGACGGATGGGGCGCCGCAACTGGCGGCTGGGGAACAGGCACAGGCGGATGGGGCGCAGCATCTGGCGGAGAAACGAGCGGCTGGGGAGCCTTCCGCGAGGATCAAAGGGGGGAAGCGGAAGAAGAAACAGCACAAGTTGAGGTTGAACCTCCTGTTGTTCCTCTTGGACGCCCTCCACGCCGCTCTGCACTAGCACCACCGCCACTTGACATCCCTTCAGGTAGTGACCCCTGGGACACCATTGACTGGGGTAGTGAGCCACTCACCCCGCGATGCACCGTCTACGGACCTGCCCCTGAACCGCGCGAACCGACATTTGTCCTTGGCACGATCCCCGGAACCAACATCCCCTACTCCATCATTCGCGACAGGGAATTTCTCGCCCTAATGCTAACAACGGCGAACGAAGAAGATGAAGCAGAAGAAGCAGCGGCGACTCTGCAGCCGGCACCTGATGAGGACCCCGCAGACGCACTCGCGCGCTACATGCGCACCTCCGGATTCCGCGCTGACGACGCCATCTGGCACCAGCGCCTAGGTCACCCCTCACGCGTGACCCTGAAGAACTGCATCGACGCCGGCGTCTTCGCCCCTGGCGCACTGCTGCGCCCTGACGGCTCCGAAGTAAGAGGCGGAACTCACCCGCGCACCTGCACCATCTGCCCCGAGGCTGCGCTGAGTCACCAGCCATTCCCCTTGCTCGAGCCAGGAACCAATCGCAACGCCAAGATGGAGAAAGTTTACAGTGACTTTCTCAACGTAGGACATTGCGGCATCAACGACGAGCTCTACACACTCACCTTCGTCGATGCCGGAACACGCCACGTGTGGGTCGTAAACGTGGAAGCACGCAGCAGGGCATACGAGGCATTCCGCTTGTGGCTGGCGCACGCGCAGCGGCAATCTGGGGAGAAATTGAAAATCTGGCAGTCCGACGGCGCAGCGGAGTTGAGGAGCAAGGAGCTGCAGGATTACCTCGCGCAGAAAGGAATCGAACACCACATCTCTCTCCCCTACGCGCACCAACAGCAGGGCGTAGCAGAGCGCACGAATTGCACTCTCATGACGAAGGTGCGGGCGCTAATGAGGCAGTCGAAGCTCCCGCCGATCTACTGGACCTACGCAATGCATCACGTCGTACGAGTGCACAACATGCTGTCAACCACCGCGATCACCGGCAACTCCTCACTGCACGTGAAGTGGACGGGGAGGAAGGGTGACACATCCATGCTCCGCGTGTGGGGATGCATGGTCCAATATCGCCCGCCGACATCAACCATCGGGAAATTCAAGAGCCGCGCGCGCTGGGGGATCCACCTCGGCATCAGCCATGAACACAAGGCGTGGATCATTCTGGACCTTCTGAGCCAGAAAGTTAAGAACGCACGCGACGTCATCTTCTACGAGCGCCTCTTCCTCCAGCAGTTCCGCGAAGACGAGCAGACGAACGCGAACCGCGTCTACGCCAATGACGGCCACAGCTACGCCTCACCTGAGGACGAAGCCGCAGCAGCAATTCTGGAGCAGGACCCCAGAGGCGAGTTCACGAGAGGCGATCAACGCGACGACAACGACGACGACGATGACTCAGGAGAAGGAGGAGCGGGCGCAGCAGGAGGCGCAACAGGAGGAAGCGGGAGCGGAAACGGCGGAGGAGCAGCACCATCAGCCCCACCAGAACCAGAAAGCGACGACGACGATGTGCAGGAGGTCATCCCGCAGCATCGCCACGACAGCACCGTCACCGGAATGCAACTCCTCGAGCTCCATGCCGCTACCTCAACGATGTCGCGCGTCATCGAGCCTAAGAACCCACGACAAGCACTCACGGGACCTCACAGCAAGGAGTGGCGCGAGGCAATGGATGCGGAAATCAGGGCACTCGAGTCACGCGACACCTGGGTACTCGTCGACCGTGCAGCAGTGAAGGGGAGAAGGATCCTTTCCGGCAAGTGGGTCTTCCGCGTGAAGACCGGAGCTGACGGGACGATCGAGCGCTTCAAGGCGCGCTGGGTAGTGCGCGGCTACGACCAGAGGCACGGGATTGACTTCGATCAAACGTTTGCGCCGGTTAGCCGTCACACATCCGTCAGGATACTCCTCGCCATCGCAGCCGCACGACATTTGCCGCTCCGACAGATCGATGTTAAGAACGCATTCATGTACGCGCTCGTAGACGCAGTGATCTACGTGGAGCAGCCGCACACATACGGCGAAGGAGATTCGCGGGTCTGCCAGCTGCGGAAGTCCCTTTACGGGATCAAACAGGCGCCGAGACTCTGGCAGCAGTACCTGCACAACATACTGCTTGAAATTGGGTTCAAGCAGCTGCCTCACGATCCTGGGATGTATCGCCACAATTTCCACAGCGAATACATCCTACTCACGGTCTATGTCGACGACCTCCTCTACACAGGGTCAAGCAACGAGTTGCTTGAGCAATTCGAGAAAAACCTCGCAGGGCGCGTCGACATCACCTGCAACCATGACGTGAAGCAGTTTCTCGGGCTCAACATCACCTACTCGACGGAAGCCATTCATCTCTCAGCAGCGAAGTATGCAGAGGAGCTCAGCAAGCGCTTCAACATTGCGCCTGCACCACTCTCCACCCCTTACCGCACTCCAGGACCCAACCACAAATCTGACAACAAAGCCCTGTCCCCTGCTGGGCTTCACACCTACCAGCAGCAGCTGGGATGCCTGCTCTTTGCATCTGTTACCTGCAGGCCTGACCTTTCCTACATCTCGAGCCAGTTAGCTCAGTACTCCCACAAACCAACGGCTGAGAATCTACTAGATCTCCAGCGTGCGCTCCAGTACTTCATCTCCACGCCCAGCATCGGGCTCTGCTACTCCACCATCCCAACTTCATCCTTCAGCCTCATCGGCTACGTGGACGCCGATCACGCCGCTGACCCTGACAATCGACGGTCCAGGACGGGCTTCCTTTTCCGTCTCGAGCCCAGCGGCCCCATCTCCTGGAATTCACAGAAACAGGAGCTGGTTGCCCTGTCATCAGCGGAAGCCGAATTCATCGCAGCAACAGCAGCCGTTCGCTTCAGGAGCTGCTGCAGGAGGCGAAAATTCCAGCCTCGACGAATTTTCGCCTGCACTGCGACAACCAGAGCGCGATCAGGATCGCGAACAAGCCGGGATTCGTCAATCGGACCAAACACATCGCGCTGCGGTACTTCTTCGTCAAGGACGAAGTTGACAAGGGCAAGGTTGACCTAACCTACTGCCCGACGGGTGACATGGCAGCTGACTTCCTCACGAAGAAGCTGTCACGTCAGCAGTACCAGCACTGCTCCGAACTCAGCGGGGTAGTCAAGCGGGTCAAGACTCGCTACGGCCAGAAGTGAAAGGGGGTGTTACGAATAGTGATTATTGAAACGCTATTGTACACTCCTCACCGCAGCAATCGAAGCACGCACTACCGAGAATGAAGACGAATGGGCAGAAGTGACACGAAGAGTCACACGGTTACGAAAGGATCTGGACCGACGGGCAGACAGCATCAGGCAGCAGTAGTGGCGAGGATTCTGCCCGAACAGTTTCGTAACTGTCTGGAGTCGCACGGTTTGATTTCGCTGCAATAAGGGAATGTACCCCTTAGAGTACATGGCTAGCTAGTTCGATTGGTATTCCCTTGTAATCTTATTTATATTCCTTGTACTGCATGTTTTTATTATCTCAAGCATTTACATTCACTCTGCTATTGAGGTCAAGGGCCCACCACCACTAGATTAGCACTGTGCGAACCTTCCTGAGGTGATCCTGAGGGTGATCAACTTCTGATCGCAACAGATGTGTCGCGATTGGTGCGAAGCGACTCGGCAGTGGTTCGGCCCGAAATGTAGGCCGAGCCTGAAACTGACGCGTAGTGTTCGGGGCTGTCCTCGCTAAGGGCAGCTTCAGCAGTACTGAATTGTATATTCAGTACAGATATGGTGAGGATGGCAATGTTCTTTCAAGAAAAGCAAACTGCATTACAAATATTTGCCAGGATTGTTCCTAGAACCTGTATAGAAAGTGGGTAGAGAAGAGTGAGGCGGGAAAGCAGGTGAAACCCTAAATCCACCAATCTATTCTGTACGGTATCTCTGCCCGTGGAGCTCCAACATTTCCATTATGTGGATAAAATATTATGTATTTCAAAAGTGTTCAGTTCAGACTATGCTGCATGCATGAGGCGATTGGACAAGGTGAAGAGAAAGGTAGTCTACTAAGGTATTTTTTTAGCTAAGAGGCCTTCTACTTAGATGGGTTGCATGCTGTTTCAGCCCTATGGAGTCAGTGATTGCAAATCCACGTTTCAATCAACTCAATAAAGCACAAATAATACATCTACATGCAAATCCACGCACACAGGAGAGAGAACACCCCTAAACCTAGGGGAATACAGAAAGGCAAGCCCCTGCCTGCCAGCAGGGCCCTGCCACAATGCAGAGGCAATCTAATTATGTACGTGGTGACCAATCAGCACCCGGGCACATGGGGACTAGTGCTAGCACATAAGCCCCATAGCTAAGCCCAGAACTGGATGGCCAAATGAGCCAAACATCTGCAAGCACTCACAGCACCTCTGGAAAAACAAATTGGGGCAGGTGGGAGGAGGAACGGGCCTTAGGCACAAGCATCCTCCTAGCCCCACTTTCTACAAATTTTCGGGCTTGTCACAGCTCTTCAGGCGAAGGCGCAGATGCCCAAATGAGCTTCTTCAAACAAACCCACCAATAGGTGGTGGCGGTGGTGGTGGCAGCTGATGGTGTTGGCGGGATCAACACACCGGTTCACGCTTCCTCTGCCTCAGGTACTGATCCAAGCTGCTGGCGCTGCCACCACTGCTGCTGCTGGGGATAGTGAAGCTTGAGCCCACAACACCCAGCTGTCGCCTCGGCACAGGCTCGGCAGCAGGCTTGGCAGGAGCAGCAGGGGTAGGAGTGGGTGCGGAGGCATTCCGCGGCCACGGGCAGCGAGGGCCCATGGTGGTGGGCGCGGGTGCTGCTACAACCTCCACATCCACCACCGCAACTGGGGCAGCAGCAGCAGCTGCTGCAGCAACGTATCCTTTCCTCGGCCACTCGCACCGCGGCCCGGCAGGGACAATAACAGCAGGATCGACAGGAGCAGCAGCAGCAGCAGCAGCGGGAGCAGCAACAGGCAGCTGCACCCCCACACTCATCATGCCCTTGCCAGTTCCTGCCGCGCCGCCAAGCAGCGCCTGCGACAGCAGGGATCCGCGCGGCCACATGCAGCGCAGACCATCCGACACGTCCACAGCAGGCGCTGCTGCGCGCGCTGCTGCTGCTGCTTGCACTCGCGTTACCAGCTCCTGCTCCTTCTCCTGCTCCTGCTGCTGCCCTTTCGGTTCGGGTTTCGCTTCTTCCCGCACCTCCGGAGCGATAACCAGGGGGGTCACAGTGGGGACTGCGCGAGGCCACGCGCAGCGCGGGCCCAAGGGAACGGCTTCCGCAGGCGCGGGGGCCGCCGCTGCGGATACGGCGGACACGGCGGAGGCGGCGGTTTGGCGGGGCCAGCTGCACCGAGGACCCACCGCGAGGTCGAGGTGCGGAAGGGCGGCGGAGGCGGCCGCGGATATGGCGGAAGGAGGGGCGACGGCGGAAGCGGAGGACGTTGCGCGCGGCCACGAGCATCGCGGACCCAGCACCGCAGGAGCCTCGGCAGGAGCAGGAACGGGGGCTGCTACCGCGGGGGAAGCCACGGCGGACAGCGCGCTCTTGCGCGGCCAGGCGCAGTGCGGGCCAGGGGAAGCCAACACGCGCTGCTCCAGCACTTGCGCGGTTCCCCGCGGCCAGGCGCAACGAGCGGAAGGTGACAGCGCGGAAGAATCGAGACTGGGGACGGCGGTCGCGGCCTTCACGGCGGAAACGGCGGAAGCGGAGGAGGCCAGGCGCGGCCACGAGCACCTTGCACCAGGAGCGGCGGGAGTCGATGGCGCGGGGACCGAGACGAGCGAGTTAGTCGACTTCCTGGGCCACTCGCAGCGAGGGCCAGGGGCGGGGGCGGGCGCGACGGACACGGCGGAAATGACGGATGCGGCGGAAACGGCGGAAAGTGTCGTCGACTGATTGTTGGCGCGGGGCCACGCGCAGCGCGCGAACGCTTCAGCGCTGACCGCGGCGGAAGTTACGGCGGAAGCGGGGGAGTCCATGGCGGGTGCAGCCACGCGGCCCGCGTGTCGCGGCCACGCGCAATGCGGGCCGGCGGGAAGCACCTCGACGACTTTAATCTCCTCGTCGCTCTCCTCCACGAGAAACGCCGTCGTCTCCTCCGCGTCGCCTTCTTGCTCATCCTCCTCCAGTGCCAAGAGCTCGAGCTCCTCCTCTTGTGAAAGCACCCATTCCTCCTCGATATAAGCCTGCGGGTCGCGCGGCCACGGACACTGCGGCCGCAGCATCAGCTCCAGCACCTCCAACTCCTGTTTCAGCGCGTCGCGGCGCTCCGCAAGCGACGCGAGCGACGCGGGGGGTGGGAGACCGTTGTCGCCGTCGCGTGGCCACGGAAAGTTCCACTTTATATCGAAGTCGAACGACGGGATAGGCACGCCTTGCGCTTTAAGGAGCACCCAGTCGACGGGGTTCAAGGCCGGGGAGGACGACTGCTGCTGCTGCTGCTGCGCGGAGGGGGGTTGCGGAAACGCGGAAACGGACTCTGCGCCGCCGTCGGTTACGTCGATGAAAGACGTGCCTTGCGCGTGGAGAGGGAGAGGGTCCATTCCGTCTGACCTCAATGAAAGGGGTGATCCAGCAACGATAGCATCAATGACCTCAGTCGCAGTCATTTCGTCTTTATTTTTCTCCTCCGATTCCTTATGCGACACGGCGCGGTTGCGTTGCCACCGCCTCAGCGGAGCGGTCTTCTGGAGGAGTGGTCGCGCGGCGCGGAGGAAAAACAGCTTCCGCGCGCGACTGGCGGACATTCCGCCGTTGGCGGAAGGCTTGCCGGTGCTGGAGAGGGATTTGCCGAAGAGTTGCGGCGCGTCGAAGCTCGATGGTCGTTCTGAGGATGCAGACGCTCCAGGATGCTTCCCCGAAGCGCTAATAACAGCAGGCGGCGCGCGGCTCGCGACAGCCTGACCCGCTGCGACAATGCACGAAGCTGCCATGCTCGTTCCGAAAAATGTCGTAGAAAAATGTGGCACAATGCCGACCAGAGTCAGAAGTAAACGCAGGAAGACACGAGCGTGATTCCTGCTACAACGCGTGTAGGCCTGTGTGAGGCGTGTGCAGTTTCTTCAGGAAACGCACGAACGACTGAGAAAATAGAAGCTCCTTCCTGAGAAGCAGCCTCGAGGAAAGATAAATCGAAAATAGCTTTCGGAACAGCAGGGCGACAGGCGTCCGGACCTTCGACCCTCTTACCCTCCTGAGACAGAGCGAGCAGACAACAAGGCTCGCGGATATCAGGGACGGGGTGGGAAGAAGCTAAGGAACGGCTGCTGCTGCAACGAGAAAGCAAAAACACTGACACTGACGACTACGTCTCACTGCTTCCGTTCTTATGGCTTGCAGCCAGGCACCTACGCAAGCGATGGGAATTGAGGAAGGCCGCGTGGATGGGAAGGATGGAGGAGGGGGAAGGGGGAAGTTGGCTGGATGGCTGCGGAAAAAGGAGAGAGCGAGTGGGGAGGAGTGGGGGAAGATGGAGGGGTTTGGGGGAAAATGTGGGGGGTAAGAGTGCGGAAGAGGACCTTCCCCGTTACTGTACCTCCACCAATCGCGGGGCACTGCTGAGAGAGTGGATGACGACGAACGGAGCGGAAAGCCAAGGGGGAAGGAATCTTCTGCGCGAGGAGAGGCGGGCGGACTTTGTGGTGTGTGGGTTGGTTGGAGGGTTCGGTCGAAGTGAGTGACTGAAGGGGAGGGCGGAGGGGAATATCGAGATGAGGGGGGAGGGGGGGGGGGGAAGTCCGGAAGTGTGCGCTCAACGGGGGAAGCGTGTCGAGACAGGGAGCGCGGCGAAATGCGGTAGTGCTTGGGTGAGGTGGGGACGGAGGGCGTGTCCGTTCCGTTGTAACGACGGGAAAGGAAAGGGCATTCTGCGCCACACTTGAAACTTGGAAGGATGTTTTGCTGAAATGGGGACCCGTTCACAAAAATACATTTTGGTCTCGTTTCGAACAATATTCCACAGATGTTTCATTCACTCTCTGTTAGATGGGTTATCCAGTGTGGATCACTACCCACCCATCCGTATGCTCAACTATGGCGATTCAGGTACTGGTATTTTTAGAGCAGAATTTAGCGTAATGGTACCATACTCATATAATTCATCGTTTTCTGTAGGTTGCTTGTTAGGATCCAGAAGTTGATGATCAGCCCGCTTTCACTTAAACATGCCCAATTGCTTAATTTAACTTGGGGGTGCGAGAGTAACTATATTTGAGAATACGCCCCCCTGTTAGTATCTGACTTCAGTCCACCCCCATGAACGATGAGCTTGCGGAGTTGTTCGGCGGAGACTCGTGCAACAGAACGAGCAGTCATGAATCAAGCGGCTTGACGGACGCAGAGCGAGGCGCAAGAAACCACAGACTGGTTTCTTCCACGTATGTACACGCCAGCTTGGGCCGTCATGTGCTCATCCGAGCACTCAGATAGGCCAGGCGATGTTGCTGTCGACTCATTGAGAATGCCATCCACGGATTTCTGATGTCACCTATCCTCGGATCCACACGGCAACGCCGAATAAACGCAACCGGAAATGTTGATGCAGCACCAGAAAACCTATCCACGGTGGATGATACATCATCTGACTCATGAAGCCCGTGCTTCCGCACAAGCCGACAGCGGATCTACCAGGAACACACGATCGGAGAACTCGATCGCCACCTTGAACGGGGAGCTCTACCACGTTCAGATGTGGTGTAAATAATCTGATATTGGTACAACCTGACCACTGCTGTCGAATTTACCGTCTAGACAACGAATGGTGACCTGCCTTTACATAAGCATCTTTACCGTTGAAAGTTTCGGGCCGTGACAAAAACAGGGTGATGAAAGTAGGGTTTTTGCCGGGGGGGGGGGGGTGTGGCGGGCTGGTTTTTATTTAATGTCGTAGTAATCGAGGCTGGGATGGGGAGAAAATGGGATGGGATTGGGTGGATGGTCAGTTTTGTCATGCTTTACCCGCAAATAATGTACCTCGCTCATCAGTGTACATCACCCCCTCAATCATTACACAACCCACCAACCAACTACGCCAAAAACATGAACACCCTGCTGTATATCTTAGGCGTTCTCTGATTCGTTAAACACGAAGGGCAGCAGATCCTAGTACCAATGAGAATTGAGAATTAGGTACGAAAGTATGTGTAGGTGAGGGCATCCACACAATCAGTCAGTGCCAGGTGGACGCTCTGAACAGTCGACTATTGACACCAGGAACTCCACTCCACTTGTCCATCACGCGCTTCGATAATGCTGACTTGGCCATGAAATTGCTGACACAGATCCACGAAAAGTAAGAACCACATCGACCGCATTATGTGATGTCGTGTCATCCGTGCGAGCTCCAGTCAAATATCAAATAAGAATAGAGCGCTAAGAAAACATCCGAAATTCTGCAATGTAGGTAGTTCTGTGAGCTGGTGTAAGGAAAATTCATTTTCCTTACTTCGCGTCCCTGCTCACCGAGTACATGCCTGTTCCCGCCATCGGCACCCATCCGTGAACGTTACCCACTCGCGACATTCGCCTCGACCACGACTCCCGCCACTGCTCACGATGCGACCCAACCTCACGGTTCGGTTGGTAACCCGCGCTCCGGACCTCCGCCTCGACAATTCCCAACCTCGGCGCTAGGCCCGTAGCGCACCCCAATTTCCCGCATTACCGTTACCACGCTAGCTTCGCTATATAACTTCGCTCATGCTTTTCGCTCAACTGTATTGTTTTTCTTCGATAGTGCAATTCTCGCTCGCTCATTTTATTGCACTCGTAACACTTGGTATTCATATGTCAAATGTACAGTGAGTAGCACTCTAGGGAGTACAACACTTTTAGGGTTGCTATTTGTATCCCTTGTTTCCCTAGTTCACACATTCCGTTGCATTCCTACTTTGAGATGGTATCACGAGTAGGTTAGTTCCTCGTTACTTCCTAGCCCGCGCCCTCTCTAGCGCACCTCCGCGCCCTCCGCGCCCTCCGCGCCTTAGGCTCCGTGCCCTCCGCACCCTCTCCGTGCCCTAGCGCCCTCCTCCTCCGCGCGTCAGCGCCCTCCGTGCCCCTAGCCCATGTTTTCGGCTCGCGCGCCTTAGCGCCCTCCGTGCCCCTAGCCCGCGCCGTCGCGGACCTCCGCGCCTAGCGCCCTCCGCGCCCCTAGCCCGCGCCGTTGCGGACCTCCGCGCCTAGCGCCCTCCGCGCCCCTAGCCTGCGCCGTCGCGGAATTCCGCGCCTAGCGCCCTCCGCGCCCCTAGCCCGCGCCGTCGCGGACCTCCGCCCCTAGCGCCCTCCGCGCCCCTAGCCCCTAGCCTAGCGCCCTCCGCGCCTAGCGCCCTCCGCGCCTAGCGCCCTCCGCGCCTAGCGCCCTCCGCGCCCCTAGCCCCTAGCCCTCCGCGCCTAGTGCCCTCCGCGCCTCTCTAGCTCCGGCCGTTCCTACCTCCAGCCAGCCCTAGCTCGCCGTTTCTAGCTCCAGCCAGTTGTGCTCCAGCCGTTCTAGCTCCGGCAGTTCTCGCTCCAGCCGTTCTCGCTCCTCGCTCGTAGCTCAGTTTGCTCCGTGCTCCGGCCGTTCCTTGCCTAGTTTCACCTAGCGCTCCTAGTTGTTTTCGTTTTTCACTGCAGCCGTCCCTAGCTCCTGTCGCTCCTAGCCTGCCGCTCCTGCACCCCGCTAGATTTTATCATGGAGTCCACTAGGGTTCTCCAGCAGCAGGGACAGCAGCAGCGGCCGTTTCAGCAGTGGCTTCCGCAGCAGCAGGGGCGCCCTCAGCAGCTGTGGCGCCCTCAGCAGCCGTGGGGGCCTGGTGGTTCAGGTCGCGTTGGCTGCAGCAGCGGCCCAGCCAGCTGGGGGGCTCGTCGCGGTGGCCGCGACGTCGGCCCCTGCCAGTACCGGATCCTGACCGGCCCTGGTGCTGGCACTACCTGCTGGCGTCCTGACCACTCTGCACAGCGCTGCTACAGCCGCCTCGACGACCTTTACCGTGAGCGTTTTGGGCCTGAGTCGGCTCCCCCGATCTGGCCCGGTATGTTTCGTAGTGGTTACCTTGTGTTTGATATGTCTATGGATGCTGTTTATTCTGTCACGTACGGATCTCTCGGCTCGCGTGTACCTAGCTTAGGACATTTGCCTGTTGCTAGTGTCGGTACTTGTGCTTTTAGTGTAGGTGCTTGTGTAGTCACTAGCCCAGCCGTGACGACTGCTGTTGCGTCGCTCTCCTTCACGCTGGACTCCGGCGCGTCTCAGTGCTTCTTCCGCGACCACACCACTGTCACACCTCTTTCGGCTCCAGTCCCAGTTGCCCTGGCTGATCCTACTTCAGGACCAGCAGTTGCTCGCAGGTCGACCACTCTCCCGTGCCCAGCTGTCCCCTCTGGTTTCCTCACTGGTCTCTACATCCCCTCGTTCTCTCAGAACTTGGTGGGTGTTGGATACCTTCAGGACCGGGGGATCACAGTCACTTTTCCTGCGCATGGGAGGACTGCGATCTGTACGGACTCTTCCACCGGGGCAGTTCTTGCCACGTTCACCAGAGAGCCCCACTCAGGTCTCTTCGCCCTACACACTCCAACCCCGCAGGTAGCTGCGTCTGGTCAGGTTGCTTCGTCCCCCCCGGTAGCAGAGTCCGGTCAGGTTGCTGTGTCCGATCAGGTTGCTGTGTCCGGTCTAGTTGCTGCGTCTTGCTCGTGTCGGTCTTTCACCCACCGGACTGTCTTGTGGCACCACCGTCTTGGCCACCCGTCGATCCCCCGCCTCCGCACTATGGCTAGTCACCGTCTTGTTTCAGGTCTCCCTCACGTCTTCCCGTCGCTCCCTCCCTCGCCTGCGCCGCCGTGCACTCCTTGCGTCGCCGGCCGTCTTCGTTCCACTCCGCACTCCTCCTCCCTTCGTCCGGCCACTGCTCCCTTCCAGACACTCCACTTGGATGTCTGGGGCCCTGCACCTACGCAG